TTTGTAGTATTTCCTGTATGATTTTGCTTACATCTATGTCTTCAAGGTTTTACCTATTCTGTTTTCCAGCAGATTAAGTCTTTCTGCTTTAATGTTTATATCTTTGATCCATTTCACTTTTAGTTTAGTGCATGGTGAGAGTTATGGGTCTACATTCAGTCTTCAGAAGGTGTAAAGCCAGCTTTTCCAGCACCATTTATTAAACAGTCCGTCTTTCTTCCAGTGAAGGTATTTGAACCCTTTGTTAAAGATAAGATATTTGAGTGTGCTTGGAGTTGTTTCTGTATTTTCTGTTCTGTTGCATTGATCCTCATGTTGTTATGGATTTTTTCTGATCAGTGCTACTTGGAGTTCTATATGCTTCATTTATCTTTATGCCAGATTCTTTTTCCATGCTTGAAAAGTGTATCCTTTGTGCTCTCTTCTAATTTTTCATTGATTCCAATTAATCTTATATTGTTCTTCTTTGCATCATCTAGAAGCTGTATTGATTTTGTGTGTATGTGTGGTCCTTTATTATATTTAAGAAGTTCTTCATTTGATGATCAACCACAACCCTGTCTTCCAGCCCTGTTACTCTATCTTCACATTGGTTGATTCTGCTGCAGGCACTTTCAATAGAATTTTTATTCTCCTGGGCATCTGTTTGAATCTGATATGGCATCCAGTTCTTTCCTATGTTGGGCATTCATGGTTTTTCTGAATAGCTCCTCTATTTTTTATCTGTATCTACTCCAGTAGATTTCTCTAACCATTTTTTTTCATTATGGTTATCATCTCTTTAATTATCTGTGTAATTATAATCTGCTGTATTTTGTTGCTTCCACTATTACCATTTCAGAAAGTTCAGTTAGGTGACTTTTGGTTTCTTTTACCTCAGTCCCTCCTTGGGCAAGTTGGGAGTGTCGAATTGCATCTTCATTCCATGTTTTCTCATTTCATTTATTTTTTAATTTTTTTCTTCACTGAAGCTTATTAATTGCTTGTTAGTAGCTTTATTACTAGTATCCAGACCTCAAGGAAATGATTATTTTTCAGAGATGTCTTCTACGCATACCTGGCTTTTGGCTTTGGAGTGTGTCCCAGGATCCTTCTATTTATTATGAATGAAAGATTGCATCCTGCTTGGCCTAGCACCCAGGTTTTTGGCAATGGCTGTATTATTGTTTATGACCCCCAAGACAATCTAGGTATAGGCATACAAAGAAGATCAATTCATCACGACAACTATGTCACTTTGGCTAAAGTAGTACAATCAGTAATAACAATAGCATTAAACACAGACTGGAAAATGACAGACTGTGGTAATTAATAATTTGCCATCTTTAGCCCTAGGTACAGGATTTATAGTTATGTTACAAAATCTAAGACAAATCAGAAAATTATATACAGTAAATATCTACTCAATAGAGCCATTTAACCCTAAGGAGAGAAAATTTTTAAAAGGAGAAGAAGAAGAAATAGAGAAATGAAAGAAGAAAAAGAAATTAGAAGCAAGGCTGAAGAACAGAGGAGGATTACCCAAGCCTCAGGAAACCAGTGAAGAAGACAGGAAGGGAGGAAACAAAAAACAGAATGAAACAAAAAAACTAAAAACAATGTTCATATTCACACACACACACACACACACACACACAATTTTAACAAAACCAAATGAACAACAACCAAAAAAAGATCAAAAGAAAAAAAAAAGGAAATTGCTTGGTGATTTCAAGCCTGTGCTTGTCTTCTGGAATCTACCGTTTCGTGCTAGTGTCCAGTTCAGAGCATGTCCTCACTAACACTGGTAGACAAGGGAGGAAGTCAGAGGCCAAGTCCATGCTGGATAATCCCAGCAAATCGGCAGGTGGGATGCCGACTGTTGGGCTTTAATTTCCACAGAAATTTGAGTTGAACCTGGCTTCCGGTCGTGGAGGTGGGGTTTGTTTAGTTGTTGTTTAGTTTGTAACAGTCTGGGTGTCTCTTGCCAGGCTGACCACAGCTCCTTGACCGTGGACATCTGCCTTGGTTGTCCTTTATCCAGTCACTGTGAGAGTTTAACACTGGGAGCCCTGAGATGAAGCAAACCCACAGCTGAGTCCCAGGTTTAGTTAGACCCTCCCTAAAATGGCGTCCAACCAGGCACTCTTTCCAGGGGACGTATCAGACACCCATACTGGAGTCACAGCTGCTGAAGTGCACAGCATCCACTGCTTTGTTCGTTCTACTGTTGTTTATCTGCCCAAAGGCCTCGGGAGTCTCCCACTTCCACTGTGTCTCAGTAGGTTAGATCTTCCTTTCTTTTGCCATGAGCCAAGAACTGGGGAGAAAGTGCAAATTGTCTCTTCCTTTTTCTGTGTTGTATTCTGTCTGTTCAGTTTCCCTATAGGTTCCAGTTTTCCCTTCAGATCATTGCTAGATCCCAAGGATCCACCTCCCTCCTTTTTTACTTCCCCAAGTTGTTGTTTTCCAGTGTCTGGATTCTAAATCTTGGAGAGGCTGACTTGTTGCTGAACAGTCTGCCATCTATCCAGAATTCTATAGTTGTTTTAAAATAAAATCATGTGTGTTTATAAAGTGTATTACCTACTTCCGCCTTTACTAAACTTCATCTGTGCCTTGGTGCATCGCATTTTGATATGGAAAGCATTTCATACCTCCTGGGTTTGGATGTGCTGGTCTCAGCAGACTCAGGAAGAACTGTGAATGTAATCTTGTCAAGTGAACTTTGAATTAACCCAGATTATTACCCTAGCAACACATAGGTTTGATCTGAAGGCAGTATTTTGCTTTTACAGAAGATACTTGTATTTGCTGTTTTGTGAGGGGAGAATCTATCAAACTAAGTTTTAGAAAACATTTTAATTTTTCAAGGAGAGTTACATGGGAGTGGTTGATAGGCAAATTTCCACCACTAGATTTTTTTAAATCCCCAAAATCTTAAACAAAAAGGCTTGTTCTGAAGTTCCCAGCATATTTGGCTGGAGCCAAGGGATTTTCTTTTTTCTTAGGTTCTCTGAGTTCAGATATTTACATTTATTGTTACACAAGGTAATTATTTAATGTTCTTAGAATATATTAGTTTATTGCTTATTCAACATTTATTTAATAGTTACTTATTGAGCACTTCGAAGTTCAGCTGCAAGGAGGCAGAAAAGTGAGTTGTTAAAAGTGAGTTGTATCTAATCAGGTTTGGGGTTTGCTAAACAAACACAACAAAAGAAATGGGCATGTGTGCAAGTGATTATAATGAGCTGCCAAGAAATCCAAGCTGGGTAACAGAATATGTGAACCAGCAGATGAGAGATTTATGGGGCCCTATCCTTAAAGGAGTAGAGTTAATGAACAGAAGGAACTAATGGGTTAAGTAATTGTTGGGATTTAGGATTCGAGAAGGTGGGTCAGAGAGATGGGTTGCTGGGAAGCGCATAGTGTGGTTTGTTTGGGTTTTTTGTGTTTGTTTGTTTTGTACCAGGGATTGAACTCAGGACCTTGTGCTTGGGAGGCAGGCACAGTGCCACTGAGCTAAATCCCGGGCCCAAGATGTGTGCTTCACCTTAGGATTATAGAGAGGTTGTGGATGGTGGTAGTGACCGAGTCTGAGGCATGACCGTGAATCGGTGGTTGAGGCAGGGCAGAGGAAAAGATCATTGGGGAAGATGAAGTCGGGAAACTGAGACAGCAGGGTAACGGAAGGATCCTCTAACTGGAAATGGACCAAAACAGGTAAGGAATGATGGGAGTGTTTTAGGAGTGGGCATAACGACGATTGTGAGATAGAACAGATCGCTCAAGTTTCAAAGCTCAGGCCGTTTGGGAGGAGGAAGTTCATCATGTAGAAACAGGAGCGAAAGCAAACAGGCAGAGAGCCTTTCCGGGGCACAGTGTCCCAGAGAGAGCCGGGTTCTATTAGAAGACATTTACTAATTAGAAGAAGGAACGGGAAGGTTCAGAGACTGAGGATTTAGGAGATTTTACTGGATCCCCTAAAGGAGGGGCACTGCCATAGGACATTCCGGGAGGTGTTTAGGAGCCATCTGAAGAGCTGAAAAGGGTGGGGCAGGTTAGGTGCGTTCGTAGTGAGGACGAAGGCAAGACATCTGCAGGGACCCATGCCTGTAAGCCCAGCTACTCAGGAGGCAGGAGAATGGCAAGTTTGAGACTAAGCTGGACAACTCAGAACCTGTCAGAGGGTGAAAAAAGAAGGGCTGGGGTTGTATCTTAGTTGTAGGCGCACTTAGGTTCCATCCCCAGTACCTCCCCATCACACACACACACTTAACAATGAGTGTTCAGACAGTAACCCCAACCCCACTTGTTTATCGCAACGTACCAACACTGCAACCAAAACCAAATACTGAGGGTTTGGTTTAGAGAAAACAACTTATGCATTAATAGCTTTTGTCTTACAAGAAAAACAACCCCTGTGCCTTGGGTTTGCTGCCACTGTTCTCGGGGAGTGAAGGGGTCCTGGCTTGAACAGATGGACACATAGCGGAATTAATCGTGGGTGGTTTCTGAAACAGGTGGTGAGGCTGTGCGTGTGGGAGACGGGTGGGCTGGGCAAACAGGCAGACCTCTCCTCTGCAGGCTCTTTTTGAGGCCGGGGTGCAGCCTTGTTGCCAGAGCACGAGTAGGTTTGCAGTTCCTTCTTTATTCCCTGTGTGAATGTGGGGAGATGTGCATGTGTGAACATTAGCAGGAGCCATGCAAGTCTCCCTTGATGCAACAGTTCCAGGTCAGTGTCGACTGAATTAGTGGCTTAGTATTTTTAAATATTACTTTAACCCGAGAGTCAATTTAGTATGTCATATCAATAAAGCAACTAATAGCTTTAATTGGGGGAGGTGACCTTGACCCATAATCAGTAAATATAATTCAGATTCCAGTCTGTATTGGAAATAGGTCACTCTCTCCCTGCTCTCTCCTTGCCCATTCTTCCAGAATGTGACTTGAAAACTGACAATGTTGTTGCTTTACCTGCTGAGTAAGTGATATATTCTTTCCCTTTTTCTCTACAGTGAAGAAAGCTACAATGTCAATGATTATTCCTTAAGAGATCAGCTCTTGGTGGAATCTTGTGACAATGAAGAGCTTAATTCCTCTCCAGGGAAGAACAGTTCCACGATGCTTTCTTCGAGACAGAGCTCAGCCAGTCATCTCTTTATTCTGACAGTCCTGAATAACCATGCGAATGAGAAAGTGGAAATGCTGCTAGGGGCAGAGACACAGTGAGTATGCGAAGAGAAAGGGTTTTAGAACGCTGGCCACCTCCTCTTGCCTCACTGTCCTCTGTCTGCAGACTTTTTAGAAACAGTAGCCACTATTTTGTTGTTGTTGAGTATGACCTGTGCCAAGCATGGCATCGAGGTGTTGTGAACAGTTGCTGTTCTTTTCGTTGTGGTCCTCAACATTTGGAGAGATGGATTTGTTATCTTCTGCCCCTAGGAGTCCTGATTGTGCATATGTTAGTGTGTTTTTTTTTAACAGAATGCTTTAAAATCATTCTGTAGTTTTTGACAAAATATGACTCATCAGCCTTAACGGAATGTGATTCAACTGGTGGTTTGATCCCAAGGTATAAGTTGTCTTAGATAATGGATTTGAAGTTATTTCTCAGTCACCTGCTCTCAAAAAGAAAGGCCAGAGATTGCACAGTGAGATACTACTACATTTAGGAAAAGCTGCTGGTAAACCAAGCCAGAGTCTGAGCAGAACAAACCGGCTCTGTGTGAGTCTGCTTCTCACCAGCAGTGACTGCTGTCCATCTGCACACTGGATGAGGGGAAGGGCATTTCGTTCTAGGTGCATTCTAGTGATTCCATCCGTTCTGAGATAGCCAACCGGTTTATTTGTTTGAAAACTGGAAACCACCTCTTGTAGTACTCATGGACAGTCACCATGTTGGTTCAGGAAGCGGAGTGTGGAAGGAAAGAACACTCCCTGATTTTTTGCCCCCTGGGGGCTTCTGTATCTGTCTTCTACCTTCATCTGCCAAGGTTCCCATGTCACATTGGATCAGCCACTGGAGAATAACAACCCTAACCCCGGTGGCCCATCTGGTTTAGGAGCCTTACACTGGTTGCATTCATTTCTCCAAGAGAAGTTCACGTTCTCACATGTAGGATTAGGACACTTCCAGTCCCCAGCTCGCTGCTGTCCTCCACTGCCACCACCTCCGTAGCCTCCACGGCCCATGGGTCCTCCTCTCCCTTGACCTTCTCAGCCATTGCTACCACCTCGATTGAAGTCTGCTCAATGGGTAGCAAATGAGACTTTTATAGGATTCGCAGAGAATCCTTTACGAATCAATAGCTGCTTCAGCAGAAGCGGGGCTCATCAGATGAGACTTGTCTTTCCCTTCAGCTTGCCAGTTTCCCTCTGTGTGTACAAATTAATCATGGGTTGTCCAGTTTTCTTACTGGTCTTGATAATGCCAGTCTGCTCGAAGTAATCATCCACAGACTCAATTGTAAAGTTCTCACCCAGCCCTTGCACAAAGATGGTGTTGTTGTCTGAATTACACTGTTCAGAATCATGAGGTGATCCTTGGTCCCGAGGGCCACCAGATTTATGAAAGCCACCATGGTCATTTCTTCCCACGCCTCCCCTGCCTCCACAGCCACCTCCACGACTTCTGGGTTCATAGTCACCACTGCGGTTGTAACCACCGCCACCACCCCTGCTTTGGCCCCCGTGGTCTTGTCGGCTTCCCCCGCAGCCTCCACCTCCGTCACCTTGGTCCCGACTGCCATCAGCACCGCCACCACTCATGGAGGGCTGGTCTTGGCCATGCGTAGTCGCCTCCACCACCCCCTCCACCACCTGCACTGCCTCTGTTGTAATGGTTCCTTGTCCATAGCCCTGAGGGGGTTACAGGAGCTTTGCTGCTGCCCATAGCTCTGTTGCTGTCCACCATAGCCAGACTGTTGGCCATAGCCCATAACTGGTGCTCTGAGAACTGCTAGCATAACTTCCAGAGGTGCTGCGTGGAGCCGATTGCTGTCCATAGCCAGGGTAAGAGGACTGCTGCCCGTAAGACGTCTGGGAACTCTGGCTACTTCCGTAGCCGCCAGTGGAGCCGTAACCCTGGAGCTGACGGAGTGCCGTAGCCGGTGTCCTGAGTCTGTCCGAGGAAGAACCGTAGTCTCCAGTAACTCTGCTGTTCACTGAGCTGACTGCTCTGCTGGGAGTAGCCCTGCCCAGCTTGGCTGGGGGAGGCCCCATTGCTCTGGGTTGCTTGTTGGGCATAGTCGTTCGAGGCCATGTCCGCACCGCACACACAGGCCCGCAAGCAACGAGATTCCACCACCACACAGAACCGACGCCCTGAGGACAGCTGTAACATTGTTACTGGTATATGTTTGTAATACATGACATTCATTGGGGAGATGAGCACTTATGCATATAACGTGTCCGAGTCATTCTTGATGCCCCTTCCCTCCCTTTCCCTTCTCTCTCACTGTCTCCCATTCCCCCCACTATGAAAAACCTGCCTTATTTTACCCTTAAATTATTAGTAATTGAATTTCTCATATGAGGGAAGCCACGCCATATTAACTTTCTGTGTCTTTGGATTTTATGTGACTCTAAGGGCAAGAAAGCTTCACCACTTTGGAGATTAGTGTTTATCCAGACATACTAGCGAACTCCGAGAAACTAGAGGCTCCCTTCTTCTGTTACAGACAGTAATATGGTGAACGTGTTCTTAGTTTTGCCTTGTTTTCCTCTTTTCCCTCTTTACAAGGATTGTTCTTTATTCAGGCCTAGCCAGCATAGAGGAGCTTTTCCCGTCGCATTCATAATTTATGAAGTCTCTGCCACTTGTTTCTTAGACTGTTCCAAGGAAGTGAATATGTGCAGTTCTTTGAACACCAAGGCTAGATCCTGTCCTGGGACATTCTGTGGCGAGTTTTACCCTCTTGCCTTTTGCTCTTGCCATGGTCTGAAAAGCTGTTCATTCCCTTAATCAGACATATTCTCAGAATATTTAGTTATGTCACCCATAAGCCCATGGGTATGACTCATATCTGTAGTTCTTTAATTAATACCAAGGGAACATTCCAGGGCGGGCAGAGAAGTGGAGGGCTCCGGGTACAGAAGGAGTGATCTGTTGTTCTCTTCCTCCCCCTCTGTCCTCAATTACAGTTGAAAAGCAAATAAATGGAAAAGCGTGTAGGACAGAAAATAGCATTGATGTTGAAAGAAAATATATGACAGCTAAGCTGAGCTTTCCTTGAAAAAACAATTGGCTGTTTAAAAACCTAGCGAATTGTTGTATGATGTGATCAGATATCTGTCAGGCAGTTCTGGGCTGCCTAGTTTCTTTTGTCTTTTTGACTGATACAAAAAAATTATACATATTGAGGTATTGTATAATTTTTGATGCATGCATAATGTTTAAATCAGATCAAAATTATTATCTCCTCAAATATTTATCTTTTATTTATGGTGTAGGTCTTCCAAGTTTGAGCAGTTTGCATCTGTAAAGAACATGTTCCTTCCAAGATTTGTGAAATGTATAGATTAGTTTGTGGTTTTCAGATTTGCTTTCTTTTATGTCTTATTTGGTGAATGTGATCCATTGACAATCTGTTGAGAAAATGAGATTCATACTCCCCTTGTGGCTTTGAGTCACTGCAGAACTCCAGACCAGTCACGCTTACCTTTGGCTACCAGTTCTTTCACCTGAAAAAAATGGGGTTCATACATAAATGGTTACTTCCTTTGAAAACTGTGCTAGTAGAGAAGAAAGCTACCTGAAAACAGTATAGAATGCAAAATCAGTAGTAGGATAGGGGCAGCTGTTAGGCACAAGGTCAACAGATCATACAAAATTCGGGAATGTTCACTGAAAGTAAGTAACATCTGGATGGGCCAGGCACTGGTTGGTCAGCTTTGGAAGGGAAAAGGAATCCAGAGGTGTTCCTTCCGAACTGAAGGACGTGTAGGCAAGCGAACATCTCAGGTTCCCCAGAATCAGCAGTTCGAGTTCGTGTCCGTTGTCCTGCTGAAATGGTGAGTAGCACTCTTTCACTCTTGAAAGTATCTTCTTTAGTTAATCAGATATGTGTGACCTCAACGCTATGGTACACATGTAGTATAAAAATTAATTAATGAAACAGTTTTCCTCTGATGTAAAAGGAGACACAGAGGTGAAGAGATTTGCCTGAAGTCACACAGGAAGTGAGTTATTGCCAAAGCTGGAACCCAACCTTCCTGACAGTCTAGCGCTCTTTCTAGTAACAGATTTTAGTCTTACAGAGAAGCTGACAACCAGTAGATTCCTCCACCCCCACACCGAGCTCCTGCCCTGTCAGCCTCTCCTCTGCGCCCACTTAGCCTCCCTCCCACGGCTGGAGCCGTTCCTCTCCTGTGCGCTTCAGAAATGCAGCCCCTCTGAAACCAGTCAGCCGCACTACCTGCCAGTTTCCTTAACAGCAGCGCACTGCTGCGGTTGTGCCACTGACTTGGCTTCTGTGCTATTTTAATGCTTTCTCTGTCTGAAGAGATGCATCATCTCCCCCTGCTTGCTGCGCAAGTCTTCTCTGGTCAGTGCTGCATCCTCCTTCTCCCCAGCAGGGTCCCTTCAACAGTCTCATCTTTTCTTTGTGGAAGGGAGGGCTTTGTACATGGCCGGTCCCCAACAACTGTTTTTGTGATTGAGCCCAAATTAATCAGTTAGCTTTTCTATATCCAAATGATGGTAAGGTGGTAGGTGCATGTAGAGAAATCCTGCCCTGTGAGTTTTCACTGCCCTTTTTTATTGCTGCTGGCACTACTTTTCTCTAAATTTCATTTGTTTTTATATTCTCACCATGCAGTACTGGGGGTTGAACTCCGGGGCCTTTTCACTAAGCTACATCCTTAGCCTCCTTAGCCATGTTTGTTTTTGTTTGTTTGTTTGTTTGCTTCCGGGTGTAGTAATGCACCTAACCCCAGCACTCAGACAAGAGGATTGAGGTGAATTTCAGGCCAGCCTGGGCTACACAGTGACTTCAAGGCTAGCCCAAACTGCATAGTGAGGTCCTGTCTCAAAAACAAAACAATACCAAAGAAAAAAGAGGAAAAAAAAAAAAAAGACAGCTAAGACACTAAGCCTTGCTTAGTGGCCCAAGCTGGTTTCAAACTTTCCACCTTCCTGCCTCAGTCTTGGAATTACAGACACGTACCTTCACACCTGGCTCAAATTCTACTTGTTTTTTGTTTTTTTTTTTAACTTTTGCTATTA